TTATTAGTACGGGTACTTCTAGCAAAATTTTTAATTGAGAACTGACAAATTTTTGTTTAACTGTTCATTAAAAGCTCTCTTACACATTATTACTCATTTCTACTGCTCGGTAATTTTTTTCTTACTACTCTGTTTTACTACTAATTTTTTCGACATTTTCAACTTTAGCGCTGTTGTTCTTCTAGGTGGTACTGCTACCTTTTAGGCATAGTGGTACTGCCACTACCCTTCTTCTTAGACAAACACCAGGTGGTACTGCCACCTTTTAGGCATAGTGGTACTGCCACTACCCTTTTTCTTAGACAAACACCAGGTGGTACTGCCACCTTTTAGGCATAGTGGTACTGCCACTACCCTTCTTCTTAGACAAACACCTCTTAGACAAACACCAGGTGGTACTGCCACCTTTTAGGCATAGTGGTACTGCCACTACCCTTCTTCTTAGACAAACACTAGATGGTACTGCCACTATCTTTCTTGAAAATTACATAACCATTCGTCATATAAAATCCATAAATACATATCCCTGTTATATTCATAATTTGAGGAGCGTTGGATAGGTCATGGTACAATTCTAGTCCATTGGAACTATCGTAAACACAATTTCCAAAGTTATTGCAGGCAACACCCCGATGATTTCACATGTCCCAATACTACGCACAAGTTTTGTTCCAAATCCGGTTAGAAAGCGTCCGTCTTTCTGAACAATGGCGTTGAGTCGTAGGGCAGCCAATTCTCCGAATGTTTGGGTAGCCTTGAGGTCCTAACTCGCCGTGCATCAGTCACTTAATAACTCCATTAACTCACGTTCTGATGCCGGTTTTTGAATTTGCACGGCAGAGCGTGCTTCATCACAATCTAGACCGTATTCCACCATACTTAAGATTATATTCCACGGTAACTGAGCGTAAAACCTGCTAATGCAGCGCAATTTTTGAAGTCCATATTCATACAAAGATTCGCAATAATGGCTCCGTAAGACCGCGGCCTTATATGCGCGAGCTCCAGGTGTTTCGCGATCAGGGTACGCAATCGTAAAATCATTGCAGAAATTTGTCCAGCTTCGAGAAAGAGGTCGCCAATCACAATAATATTGATAGCCTCGGTTTTTCAGTGCCACACTAGCCTTGGCTATCATAAGAATGTCGCCAACATTTAATTCTTTTTTAAATTTCGTAGCGTCGTCTAACCATTCCTTGATAGAATACGTACTTCGTCGGGATCGTAACTGGTCAATTTTAATGACGAGTTCGCCATGTCCGGCTGATGTTGTCGCCTGCGCGTTTAAGCTCTCCAACTCGGAGGCGCTGGGCGTTGGCGTTGATGCGGTCGCCATATTTGATAGCTTGGTGAGCTGCTCTTGTTGCGATGCCAAAATAGATAGCAGCGCTTCTGGCCAGTTAATCTTTTTCTTTTTCTGTGCGGGACCAGGTGAGGGCTGTTCATCCTGAAAGTCATCGATCTCCGGCACTTCTACATCAAGTTCTGGATGCTCCTCCGCCATTTTTACAACTTCACATTAATTGTTCTTTTATTTCACTTACACTACTTTAAATAGTTTATAAGTTCATCCCACTTCTGATGTTAAATGAGAGAGGGTTTCTACCCCAAATAAACACCACTTAGGTCCTTATACAATATTTTATTTTACAACTACGTCACATGAATCTTAATTTACTCCGCCCCGTTACGTCTCTCTACTTCGACTCCCGTTTCTCCCTACTTTTCTCGTCGATATCGTCCGCCTGCCATCGAGTGGTTTCGTAGCAGTTGCGTAGTCGCAGATGCCTTAAGTGGGAAGATAGTCCGTAGTAGGGATTATGTAGGGATTTAAGAACCCCTAAAGTACACCACCGTTAACACACACACACACACAGACACACACACACACACACACACACACACACACACANTAATAATATGTAGAAGATAGAAAATATAAATATTTTCAGAACAAAAAACCGGCGGCCGCAAATTGGAGTTTTTATTATTTTATTACTCTTCTCTTTTCATATGCAATTATGAGATAGCAAAAGAGTGGGATGGACGTATAGGCCGGACAACTCATTATCGTGCACGTGTGCGTGCACTTGGCATTTTATCGTTTTTTTTTTTGTAGGAATGAAATAATCCTACTATTTTTACTATAAACGTATTTCCTGTAGCGACATCTATATGAATATTGTAGTACTTTGTTAGATGAAACGGGACTTCAATTTCCGTTTTTAATTTTTTGACGATAATTTTCATGAAAATTCTGAAAAAATTAGAATGCTGTCTAAATACGGCACCACGTGCCTAATTTGGGCCGCAGAAAACGCCGATGTAGTCCGTTTTTTGTAAGTTGCTTGCCTGAAGAAAAAAATTGAATATCTGGAAAATTACGCGAGCTAGAGAGAAATTCCTTTCAGTTTTGGATTTGCCAGCGCCGTTATAGTCTGGAAGAATTTTTTCAGATTTTTCGGGGCTCCTAAAATATTTTGTCCTAAAAAATCGATGGGCAGTCCGTCGATTTTCTCAAAAATTTGTAGGGCTCTGAAAATTCTGAAAAAATTCAGATAGACAATAATGGTCCTGACTAATCCAAAACTGCTGTCGGTTCCTATCTAGCTCCACTAGTTTTCGAGATTTTTTGTTTTTTCTTCCAGTTTCAAAGTTTTGTTAGGTAGGCAACATACAATACATTCGTGTGTATACTTGGCTGCATAAATCGCATTTAGAAACTCAATTTTTTAACGATAATTTTCATGAAAATTCTAAAAAAATTAGAATGCTGTCTAAATACGACACCACGTCTCTAATTTGGGCCGCAGAAAACGCCGATGTAGTCCGTTCTTTGTATGCTGCTTGCCTAAAGAAAAAAATTAAATATCTGGAAAATTACGCGAGCTGGAGAGAAATTCCTTTCAGTTTTGGATTTGCCAGTGCCGTTATAGTCTGGAAGAATCTTTTCAGATTTTTCGGAGCTCCTAAAATATTTTATTCTAAAAAATCGATGGGCCAAGACAATAATGGCCCTGACTAATCCAAAACTGCTAGTTTTCGAGATTTTTTGTTTTTTCTTCCAGTTTTAAAGTTTTGCTAGGTAGGCAACATACAATACATTCATGTGTATACTTGGCTGCATAAATCGCATTTAGAAACTCAATTTTTTGACGATAATTTTCATGAAAATTCTAAAAAAATTAGAATGCTGTTTAAATACGACACCACGTCTCTAATTTGGGCCGCAGAAAACGCCGATGTAGTCCGTTCTTTGTATGCTGCTTGCCTGAAGAAAAAAATTAAATATCTGGAAAATTACGCGAGCTTGAGAGAAATTCCTTTCAGTTTTGGATTTGCCAGTGCCGTTATAGTCTGGAAGAATCTTTTCAGATTTTTCGGAGCTCCTAAAATATTTTGTCCTAAAAAATCGATGGGCAGTCCGTCGATTTTCTCAAAAATTTGTAGGGCTCTGAAAATTCTGAAAAAATTCAGATAGACAATAATGGCGCTGACTAATTCAAAACTGCTGTCGGTTCCTATCTAGCTCCACTAGTTTTCGAGATTTTTTGTTTTTTCTTCCAGTTTCAAAGTTTTGTTAGGTAGGCAACATACAATACATTCATGTGTATACTTGGCTGTATAAATCGCCTTTAGAAACACGCTTTTAATTTTTTGACGATAAATTTCATGAAAATTCTCAAAAAATTAGTAACTTACGGGAAACACCCTCTATGTAAATATTTGCGTCTTTTTGATCTCTCTTATACATTGAACTAATAAGAATAAACCTTTTTTGAATTTGATTATCGAAGTCATGACATATACTTTTTAGTTGTTTATGAAAGACTTATTTATTGCATTGTACGTATTTAAAATTATATTTGCAATTAGAAAATTCTGTTTTTTTTTTTTGTATTAAACAAGAAGCTTTAGAATTATTTTGGATATTTTTAACTTATTCAGTTGTACAAGCTTATTTTTAATTAAAAATATGTAACCAAAAATTGAATAGTTTTTCAAATTTTAATTTTAAATCATCAGGAATCGAATAGACTGGCCGCATTTTCAAAATATTCTGGAGTGTCGAAACTGTGAGTTTATTTGTGACGATATCTCTGTCACTTTCAGTGAAATTCCTTAATTAAGTCACAAGTAATTAAAATGGGAAATGAAAAGACAAATTTTTCTATCAAATATTATTCGACGATAAAGGGTATATACAAAAATAAATACAAACTCCAAAAGGTATGTGGAACTGTATAAATTATATTTAAAAGGAAATATGCTCCAAAACGGGAAGTAAATGCATTCAATCACACACAGCTACATTTAAGTAGGAAACTCGTACGTCTTCAAAATTTAAAAATCCTAAATTAACTACAAGGCTATCAAAATAACATTTTTTTTTTTTGACCGTAACTAATTTAATTTTTCGCCGACGTACAACCCAATTTCAATACCCTTGTAGAGTACAAAATGACTTTTTCATCACTTGACTAGTTAACATCGAGTCGACTCTTTAAATTTTGACGAGGAAAAACACATTTTTGAGATCATAGATTTACAATACGTTACTCGGTAATATACATTTACTCTACGCTATGTTTATATTTACATAAAAATTCAACTTCACAATATAAAAAAAGCACCAAAAATACAAATAAGGATAAAATTATGTATAACGGAATTACTAACGTTAAATGCCTTCTGGTATTTAAATACTAACGCCGATTGCATCTATGAATTATTAAAACTATAAAAATTAATAGCAAATCGTCATGTTTAATACAAATTGTATCTGGAAATCTTTACAGTGAAAATGCCTGCACCTTAACCGCTGACGTTCGCGCATAAACTTATTTCAAAACTCAAAGAGAACGAATTATTTTCTAGTTCACATAAAGCAGCAATCTGTCAAGTAATCACAAAAGATTGAAGATTGAATGATTTCCGGGCTGGTTGCCACGTCGTCGATTTACAACTCTTGACGTTTCGAGAGACATATCGCTCTCGAAACGTCAAGAGTTTTAAATCGACGACGCGGCAACCAGCCCGGAAATCATTCAACCATTAACGACAGCCACGGAAGCCTACAAATACAATAGATTGAAGGTTGTATTTCCAACAACCGGATAAACAATGTCCAAACTGCAGTCTAATTGGAAGATCTGCGGTCATGTCGTGAACACATCAAGAAATTTAAGCAATGCGATAAGATTAACATTCTCCGCTCGACTTTTTTCAATAGAGATAAATTTTGTTGGAATATAACCGAGTGCAACTTTCAGCGATGTCTGTTTTTAAAAGCGTAATTGAGTTTCAACTTGTTTCTTAAACTCTCGTCTATGCCGTCAACGGGCAGTTCTCAAACTCGGTCCTATGCGCGAGCTTATCTGTTTTGGAAGTAACGGAGCGACCGAAAGTAAAATGGAAAATAATTTCATAAAAACAAATTGCCATTGAAGGATTGGGAGACTAATAAGGCCGAAATGTTGCACAGTGGGCCAAAACGCTCAAAATTCAGTGCGAGGTAGTAAAAAATGTCCAAATTGTTTTTTTTTAAATACTCGTAATTATGTCCGCTTTCTTATGTCGTTGCGACAATTGCGATATTTTAAGACAAATAGAAATGAAAAATGTTAATTCGGAGAATCAGAAAATATAACCAGAGTTAAGAAATTCGTGAATTTGTAAAAAAAATTGCAGCATGTTGAAAAACAAAGTTCTAACGCATTTAAGCTCCCTATTTTAACATTAGGCCATGGTTTTCACCTAAAACAGGCCGCGTAAACCCGTTTCTCAAATAAACCTCTTCCCAAACGGCTAATCCCGCTTTTACGACCACTTTTTTCAAACTATAGTAGCAAGCGGAGTATTAATCATATCGTACCGCCTTCCTTTACTAAAAACAAATTTTAACTAAAACAGTTGTTTTACAACGTGCGTTTTAAAACGTAAACTATGGTACCGCAATCAAAATCTACCGACGACTTCACGAACAGTGAGACGAAAACCTCGTTCGCACGACCGAAACAGACATTCACGTAATTGAAAAACTTGGCACTTTAATTACTCATAAAAAGTGGGACGTATAAATAAATTAACACTGAAATAAAATGGAATGTCGCGACATCATAAGTTTTCGAGACGTATCCGACGAAATCACTCGATGCCATGGGCGAAGATCATTACCAAACCCGGTTCGACCATCATGTCTTCCCCCATGTGTGTGTTATCACAGGAGAGCACCAGGACGGCCTGCTTGGCAGGCACCCTTTTGCACACGTAGTTCTCGTACTGCCTGCGGTTGTTCTGTCTCGTCTCTAACGAGCATAATCCGGGAGGCCACCTCCTCTCGTGGCAGTTCTCCATGAGATCGTCCAGTATGTGGGGCGGGCACCCCATTTCTGTCAACGTTCTCTTTATCATCCTCTGCAACAAACAAATTTTACGCAAAACGGAAAATAATTTTAACAACAAAATCTGAGTACCTGCAGAATTTCATCGGGGGTCGATATCATCCCTCCCCATCTGGTTACCCTGGCGCGTTGGAGGGAATTGCTCCAACGAAGTACTTCATCTCTCTCCATCGCGTCAGCTATCGCCCTCATGGAAGGGTTCGATATTCTCATTGCCCTCATAAAATCCTGCAATGAGACAGTAGTAAATACTCACTTCGTTGTTTTTTTTTGCGACTACCTTCAGTAACTGCATTTCTCGCCTCTGTTCCGCAATCAGGAACCTCTGTTCGGTGAGTTCCTGCTGAAATTCAGTCATTTTCTGCTGCTGGGTGTGAATTAGGGCCCTGAGCTCCTTTACGCAATTGTGGTCCTTGAGTTCATCCTTGGGGATGATGAGTCCGCAGCCCTGTTCGCATGGCAGCGGCCGTTTAGGATTGTGTTCGCACTCCTCCAAGTGCGACGCCAGGGAGTCTAGTTTTAATACACGAGTACAGCCGTACTGAGCATTATCACAACTTATGCACAGTCTAAAATATAAGAATTACTGTTTTTCTATCTGAAGCAAAAATATAAGATTAGATTTTTCAAATAACATATTTGTATACATGTAAACAATTAAATAAATAAATCCCTTATTAAAGCACTTTAATTTCAAAATTTCATTGCACGTATAGCAAAGTATCCAACAATATAAAAATCACCTAAACAATGCCATAGATTTCGGACAATAAAACAATACTAATTGTTAGTTAAAGCCATTTCTAATTCTATAAGGAACTGGAATTACACATTATCTTAATTAGCAATGGATAAAAATGTAAATAAATTACTTCTCAACAACGATTTGCAGTTAATTAAACGTTTCTCGTTGAAGATTAGTAACAGAACGAGAAAAAATATTTTTGGTAAATAGGTATAAATTAATGTTTAAGATTCTAATACCGAGATAGTAAATTCCTCAATATCCTTGGAACTTGTCTCAGTTGTGGGGACGTTACATTTTGTCTATCTACGGGGCAAGTGGGTTGTCTAGATATCCATTCTGTTATACAAGATTTGCAAAATGCGTGTTCACATACTGGAGCCTACGAATATTATAAATGAAAATTAAGAATAATTAATTGAAACATGCATACTTGCAATGGATCTTCTAAAACTCCAGAACATATTGGGCACACTAGTTCTTCGTCTACTTCTCCTTGAAATCTATTAAGCTCAAATCCCATTTTTTATTTCACACCCATAACAATTTTTTTAATTACTTTTAAATTAAGAAAATTTGACAAATGTCACAAAAACCCAAAATGTCTGAACAGTTATGAACACAACTCAAGAAACAAAACCATCGACCTTATGACGGTGACTGACGATGACTGATCAACAAACAAATAACAAATACACCAAGTCACCAAATATTATGAACATTTCATTTTGCTAGATTGGCTACACGTATTTTGAGTTTGGGTACCTTCCGAATTCTACTTGAGTTGTACTTTGTTATTTATTTTTTTATTTTATACAACATAAATTAAACTCATGTTCATTCTTATTAATCACGTATTAACATAGAAATAGATAAATTCTCTGCTAATTTTCTAACCAAAATTATAAAGGTCAAATATCGTCTAGTTTCTAGTAGGTAGATTACGAAATACGTCAAATATCAATTAGTAGGTGCCTTCTAATTTTCTAACCTAAATTATTAACGTCAAATATCGTCTAATAGGTCCTGTCAGATTTCTCAACCAGAATTGAATACCTCAATTACGAAATACGTTTGTGCAGAAAGTGTAAATAGTGTAAGAGAAAGAAAAACACCTCATATTATCAATTCTTTAATGGTATTCAATGGTGATTGCGTACAGGGTTGCCAGATTGGGCTACTTATCGCCAATTGGGCTATCTCATATGACTTTCGGCTACTTGAAAAAAAGCAAAAATAGCCAGTCGCCAATTTGGGCTATTTCGAGTTTTTACCAGTGTCGGCAATCTGTACAAATCGAATGTTAGAATAGTATATTTATATAAATTCTTTTTTTACTCAAGATTTATGTTTATTTTGTTTCTTTTGTACATGGAATAAAAAATATTTTATTCGACTTATATTTATTCATATTTTATATACACATTTCTGTATTGTAGAATCATAGAATAATCATAATATATTTTTTTTAATTTTAATATTTTAACGGTTGTCTTTATTTATCTTCGAATTGTCCGTATACGTTTTTAGAAATAAGTCTACTTTTAAATTAAATGAAACCATTCATAATAAAAGCACTAGGCAAAATAAGAAATTCCACATTCCTTTTTTTAAATACAAAATATCTTGTGATTCACCATTTTATTTAGGTTTAAAAGTTTTTAACAAATTGCCTTCTGAGATAACGAACACAAATAATTTTATATTTTATAAGAAGCTGCATAAATACTTAATAAGAAATACATTTTATACTTTAAATGAATTTTTTTATTCTTAATGTATCTAGAGTAGATAGTTTTAAGTTATTTTAAGTATAAAAAAAATGTGACAATTCCTATACAATGTCTGTCTTTAAGGAAAATAAAGTTTATTATTATTATTATTATAAATTAATAAAATAATAAAATAATAAAATAATAAAATAATAAAATAATAAAATAATAAAA